ACTTGAGTAAAGAAGTTTAGTCAGTACTTCTACTTTCACCAGAGTATCTTTAAACATGAGTGTCTGTACTTCTACTTGAGTAAAGGATGTGTGTACTTTTGCCATCTCTGTAAAGGACTAGTTAAAGAAGTCCTATCTTTGGATTGAGTTAAGCTACGTCTTTAGCCACTAACCTGTGCTACTCTGATCCACTTCTCTATGATGCGGGCCCTTTGAGCCGGAGAGGTTTGAGGCCCGTTGGAGGAAGTTGGACTGAAGTTGGAGTCTGTAGGCTGGCAGAGCAGGGACATGATGACCCGGTTAGTGACGGCGTTGAACTGCACAATGGTGGCTCGGATAGTGGGAGACATGTTTTCCTTCTTGTCTCGTTGCGACCACACACATCCCAGACACTGGTACGGCACCACTTTGACAAACAGAGACTGAAACGCCATGAAAACCAATCATTAGTCTTTGATTACGAATGTAAAACCCAAGAAATAAATTCCATCCTCTCGCATACCGAGTCCATTCGGGTGAGTTGATCTGCAATGGCTGCCGCGGAGAAGTCCATGAATCCACCTTGATCCGGAGAGTTCTCACATCCTGAATCATCATCACCAGAAGCCTCCTCGTCTTGCTCCTCATCAGCAGAACTAACATCTTTATCAGCTTCTGAAGACACACATAGAGATCAAGAAACAGTGAGCATGTCTTTATGGATTTCATACGATGGTATAGCAAAAAGAAAGCCCTTATCATTTGTTCGTGTCATGGAACGGAGGATCACCTTCGTTCTGAAACGTATTGAGCAGTGCCTCAGTTTGCCCGGCCAAAGAGCTGAAGTTAGGTTGGCTCCGCATGTTGTGATGAACTGCAGAACTGATCCTCAGGTGATCCAGAAGCAACCTGAGTGCCGGGTGAAGGGGAGAGTCCCTGAAGTCCTCGCTGTACTCATCCAACCATGTCTGGACAAAGGCCAAGAGAGGGCTGAGGAGGCAGAGATTCATTACTACTTACACAACAACAGAGTAATATATTAAAACTAACCCGGATAGGTTCAAGAACACTGTGCATTAAGGAACATCTGTAACCCACCTGTTGTAGCATTCACTGTTGTCCAGATCTGAGGCAGCATTGTCTCTAATGGGAAGAAAAACATACTTTTTTTATACTCCTTTTGCTGTTTTCTGTAAATCTTTTAATTACCATGTGCTCCTGCCCTCCAACTATCCTAACCCTGACCTTGAAACGTGCCAACCACAGTCTAAAACCACTCCGTCCATAATTGTTGTTGAAAGCCTCAGGATGATGATCACCTGCTGCTAGGTACTTATTACTACATCAAAGACATGGTTGCTATGTCAGCGACACAATGTATAAAAAGATCCTGACTCAACTTGGTGACTCTGCGTGAGCAACAAGCACCACCCGTGTTGTTTTCCCAGAATCCAGCACAAAGGAGATTACTTTTCACCTGAGGCTCTTCATCATGTTCAAACATGAGCCTGTGCTTTCTGATCGGAAAACCATAGAACAGGTTTAACTGGGCTAAATGTCAGCATCGTAGGAATAAAAACATACAACCAAAGCAAAAAGGGAAACTTAGGAAAAGTGTGCTTGAATGGACAATGTTAATTAGGGGGGACTGAAATATGTAACTCTTACCACTGAAGGAATAGTTTTTTGCTAAGCTAACTGAGCAGCCAGTTAGGTTAACATCTGGAAACATTTAACATACCCTTAAAAAAAACGAGTAATTTCCGGTAGTTTCCTGAAAATTGACTTGAGGATTATAAATTGCTCCGGTCAAGATTTGCACTCCAAGCTATCGTGTTTTGTACTTATGTAATCAATCAAACATTGCAGTGGTTGCTGTACTCACACCTGATTGAAGTCTACACTTTTTTTAAGTACACTTGTCAAATTTTTTTTTTTTATAAATACTATTTCTGACAAAGCCAGGCTAGCATTTTCAACCTCATTGGTGCTAAGCTAACCAGATGTTAGCTGTAGCTTCATATTTGCTGTATAGGCATGAGTGGTATCAATCTTCAGAACTTTTGGCAAGAAAGCCCATAAGTGTATTCAACAAAACGGCAAACTACCCATTAAGAAGAAAAGACCAGAACAGGCATACAGTGATGTGAACATTGATTGTACCTGTGAAAGAGCAGCTCTATAAGCTTCGAGGTACTGATGAAGGTCCTGTATGTGGAGAGGAAGATGCGGCTGTAGTCCTGCTCCTGGTTCTCAGGGTCGAGGATCTGATTCACGAGGAGGTCCAGGGTGGCAGCTTTCAGACGCCGCACCTTGCAGGTTCGGTACTGAACAAAAGCACAACATGGACCCTCCGCTCCGAGGTTTGGGGAGGAAGGGACGGGTTCTCGACGAAGAGTAATCCCATAAATCGCGCCATCCTCGAACTCCTCGCCCCACTCCTGCACTGGGTTCTGGGGAAGGGAAGTAATGATTGCTTGTAAGTGAAAGTATATTATAAAGTGTTTCCTCCTTTTTTGAGGTCTTTTGGAGAGAGATACATAATGCCTTACAAGATATTTTCAAATGTCATGTGTCCATGGAGAGTAAGACTTTGATTTTTGGACTCGTAACTCAAGAATGGACAAATATGTATTAAATGTTGCTGGTGGTGAGTAAAAAAGCTGTTACAAGGAAGTGGTTATCAGCAGATAGCCCAGCGTTAAACGCATGGATGGATATTACAATGATATTTACAAAATGGAGGGGATAACATCATCTGTCAATCCCAAACTGGAACTATTTGTGTCACGATGGAGAAAGTGGACTGATTTCGTAAAACCTCATAAGCCAGATTTTGTTTTTACAAACGTATGATTTTACTGTGAAGTGCTGATCACTCCCTAATGTTCATACTTTTTACTGTTTTTATTTTATCTTTGTGTAAAAAAAGACGAACTTAAGATGTACAATTACTATGTCTTGAAACAACACTGTAATGGTTTGCTGCCAAATGTCAATGAATATATTACAAAAAAAGTAGGACCAGCTGATTGTTTGACCCATTAATAAACTACTCTTGCAAGAATAAAATGTGAAAAAGTCCAAGCAGGAGTGATTTCTTATAAAAACCGTATAGGTATGTGTCATTCACTGTTCTGCTCGGGTACCAAAGGTATACGTGCAATACACACAATATATATATATATTGTATATATATACACAATATATATACAATATACATATACACACACACTATATGTAGTAATGTTTTTGGTGAAAACATCAGGGTAAGAGGGTGGGTGCAAAAATAGAAAAGAGAGCCTCCATGTCAAGGTGAACCAACACAAACAAGTGACATACCATCCCAACTCCCACTGATCCAATGTGAACCACAACAACTACGCAAAATCTGCTTACTAAGAACCACGTCTACAAATACTGCACAAACGGCTTAGTGTGTGATGGTCATAATTATCAGGTCCTCACAAACTCTAGATGCTGGTGTTAGCTAGAGCTTGGTTTGCATTGCAACAATTGCACAGAAAACCTGACATTTCCCAGAGTTGTATAGGTCCATGGGAACGTTTATGGATTACTGAAATTAGGCTAAATGTGCTTACTCAGGACCATTATTTCCAACGACTGCACAAACGGCTTAACGTGCAAACTCTACAGGTTGGGTTTAGCCTGTACTTGGTTTCCATTTAACAATTACACGGGAAGTGGATATTTCCTAGAACGTTATAGGTTCTTGTTTATGGACCAATACCACTACGCAGGATTTGCTTACTCCATTATTCCACTGACTTTCATTTAAAAACCTGAAATTTCCCAGAATTTTATAGGTTCACATGAATGTTTATGGACAAATACAGGATTATCAAAGGTTAGCACATCAAAAGCAAAACACAGCCTAAATGCCAACAAGTTCCCAGAAGTATTCCTCAGTAACCAATTAAAAAAAAGCCTTGGACAACTGTAAGCTAGTTTAGCAACAAGGGTCATGATTTTGTATAGACATACTGTTTTTGTTATATATTATTCAGACATGAGAACACACCTTGTTTGATCTCGTGGAGACGTATTAATGAGTGTTTGAGTCATGGCTCCTCCAGATCGCTCAATAGCACTAGACACAGCACACACAATGCACAAGGGTTAATCGAGTAGGAATACTGAGGGCCTTGTTCAGGCTCTGATTATGTGAAGTACAACAGCTGTGACGCATAAATTAAACAGTTCCAAAGAAGCCGCCTAACAATATGTATATAAGCTACCACCAACTAAATAATAAGGGTTACTGCTCAAAATTCAAGGAAACAAAATTGTTTTCTCTTTCTCCTTTGCATAATCAAATCACCTCTCCTGCACCACAAAACAGGTTTTGTTTGCAATTTGATGTTGTTCAATTTTCTTTTTGAGACTTAACAATGAAATTGCACCGTTTTCCACTCTAAAAAAACGTGTTAGAAGGGTTTCAATGTCTTCCGAAGATTTACTTTTAGAGCCGTGAATGTTGGTAGGGGGACAGATACAGCTGTGTACACGGCATTTAAATTATATAGAGGACTTCCCAGGGGCAAAAAAACTGCAATTCTCACATTTCTTGGAAACTAAATCTCGCAGAATCCTATTTTTTGGAATAAGCATAACGTTTGGATGAAATGTAAACGAAAACCTCCATGACACTTCCAAAATACCACGCCTTCCAAACTTCCTGACCCAATTTGTAACACAGGATTTCTTTATTTCAATCCCAATGCCCAAACCGAAGCCATAACAAGAACACTTCACTAGTAGACTTCCTTTAAAATGCCTCATGTGTTGTATAATAACATCCAGTCTTGCAAAACGTTGCCTAATCTGTCTAGTTAACATGCAAATGATTCACAAATCCATACAGACACCCAGGAGTGAAAACACCTCAACATTCAATATGCTCCAAAGTAGAAAATCACTCGTCTCAAAAGGGGTTTGAATTAGTCCAACCACTACCCATCTTCTTCCATCAAAACAGTTTTTTGAATGTACAGTATTGTCTGAAGGTCATGCCTGCTCACAACAATCATGTTAAATTGCGTATCCACTGTAAACGGGAGGACTTCATGCAGAGACAGACGTGTAGCTGCATTGTCTGCTAACCAGTATCACACAAACCCCATTGTCCCTCACAGAAACTGGGAGCGTTTGTTTTCTCCACAGAGGAGAAACTGTGCATTGTGTCCGACTGTAACTCAGCGATGGAGGCACTGGGCACGACTGACATCCAGATCCAAAACCACAACACTCCTCCATGTTGGCGTCTACAGCATTTTGGTTTGAATGGAAAAGCAGATCATGTCTGTCTTGAATGACAGACTTAGACACAGGAAGTAAACACAGTCATGGTCATGATATTCTGCAGCATCGGAACAATAGAACAAGTCTGTTGAAAACACTTACTGTTTAAAAATGTGAGTTATATTGATGTTACTTCCCAACATAAAATAAAAAAAGTCGATATTGTGCCCATAAAAACAAGGATGTATGTCACATGTGTCAAACTCAAGGCCCGGGGGCCAAATCAGGCCCTCTGTGGATTTAATTTCGGCCCGCAGGATAATTTCTAATTACTATTAGATCTGGCCCG